CAGTGGTAGCAGCTTTGAGCGCATACGCAAACACTTAGCAGAAGAGCCAGATGGACCTCATATGGAGTTCTTCACTCAAGGCCATCTTGATGTAATGTGTTCGGGTAGATGCAACATTTCTGGTTCTTCACAGCAGATTTTCAGCCAGGCTGCCTGACTGAAACACTCAGTTATTCAATCAATTAGTCAACTGACAGAATTTAACCACAAAAAATGGTAAATAACGCAAAAGCTTGCAGATTTGACCCCCTGTTCTTTACCAGCGTAATTTGGGTGTCTTCAAGCTTTGCACTGCTGCTGGGAAAAATAAAACAAGCAAGGAAACTGGGGTGGACACTCACCTCTATTTTCAAATGTGCCATAAACTTTAAAAAACAACAACCAATTGTTATAATTACTATATTAACAGTAATGCAGGTCATTTTTAGTGGAAGAAGACTACACAAGAAATATAAACTTGAAAAGTATTTTTTACAGAAAGAGCCTTTTTATTTATGCCTTTTAAAGAAATCACATTGGGTTAGGGTCCTTTAAATTAGAGTCTTGACAAAAATATTCTATCCTTTACATGTTTTTTTGTTTCACATTTTCTATAGGTGCTACACAATTTAAAACACACAGACAACATTAATCATTCACATCAGGGTGTTTGCATTCCCGTAACCCATTTTCTGAGCATGCAAAATTAAGCTTGACACTCTAATTTAGCATCAGAGGCGAACTCTGAAGGAACACCAACTGGCTTTTTTTTAAAAATGTCAAACAGTGTCTGTTTGTCTGTATGTATGCAACTGCTACCTCATACAGACTTCTGAGCACATCCTGCATGCATTTATAACACAAAAAAACACAAAATCACTGAGTCTTTCTTAACAATGCTGAATAGAAATCTGGAGCCAAACAAAGGCTTTCCGCAGAAAACTGCTGTTGTGCACTTTTTTATAGCCCTCATTAGTTTGATCCTGATATCTCAGTCTAAGGCAACTTTTCCTTTCAAAGGAAATCAGGGGTTGAATGTCTACTAGGCAGATTTAAACTGACATGAAGCCATCACAGTGACGGGGAACAGATGCATTTTATATAATTGGAATATCTAAACTTCTTGGCTTTCCAGTGCTGTCAATGTTAGGTCCATAGGAGGAAAACATCTCCTGTGAAATTCCTTTGTTCACATTTAGAAAAGATGCTCTTATAGCACTCTAAAAAAGTAATGAAATGCACGCTGAGTAAGAGGAGAAAGAAATCCTTGCTCCGACTGCATTAGGAACTACCGAGTAAAGCTCTGATCAACATGACCTTAAACTGATGGGGTTGCCTTCGATTAAAAGTTTAACATGTCATAAACCGCCAGATGAAAAGAGAGAAACATAATATTCACAGCATTGATGATGGTATTCGTTACATCAAACTACAGAAATAATGACTTCGAACGACACTGTATATAGTTACACCTGTATACATTGCCATTGGCTATTGTGTGGTGCAATCCCTTTGCATTTCAAGGGAATATTGCTTTGGCACATGTATGACCTATAATAGCTTACACCCCCAAAACAAGCTGAGCACTGAGCATGGCACACAAAATGCCAAATGTCATTAAATGCGTTTCCGTCCAGTTTAGCTACTGACCTTTCACATGTAAAGTTTTCAGAAGAAATAAATAATCAGATGTTTAGTCTTTTTTGTTAGTTAGCCCTCTAAAGTCACTGCTGAGAGTTGAGGTTTCCATTAATCAGAACAAGAGTGAAAAAGAGTGTTTAAGGTTTCAGACTCTTTGACTTCTTCATGAAATCAGTTCATAATGCCCCACGTTAAAAACAAAGACCTGTAAGAAAACGACACGAGAGAGGTAGGAATTTGAATTCCGAAACCTTTGATCCACAAATACTTGCATGCTATTTACCAGTTGGCACGGCAAGAAAGTAAATAAATAAATAAATAAAAGTATAACTTTTGACACCTTTTCACAACCAGAAATATGGCAGTACGTAAACTAGAGAATACAATCACACCCAGCAGCCCCTCTGCCCAGAAGGATATTTACACTGCTAGCATAGACTAAGAGTTTCTGCCCTGCTAGATGACCACTTCTTCACGTGGTAGGTTGAGCTTCACCTCCCCTCCTGCTGCTGCGGAGGTTGAGTAGACTGCGGTGGCAGAAACACAAGACGGGCCGTTTGTCTCCATGGTGAAGAGCTTGCAAGGTCCCGGCAGGGCTGCATCAGCATCAGGAGCCTCCTTTTCTGAGCTGGATGCCTGGGATGATGCAGGGGAGGATGTGGGGCTCAGCTGCACAGCTGTAGTGTCCTGCAGCGTGTGCTCACTGGTCTCTATTTCAAACGCTGCCCCGCCAGCCTGCCCGCCGTGTCCCATCAAGCCAGCCCCTCTGCCCCCAACCTTGGACCTCCGTGAGCTGTGTGGAGGCGGGAGTCGACTGCACACGCAACACGCTCCGAAAAAGGAAAAGGCCACCAGCAGCAGGATAGGTCCGATGATGATTGGGGGGTTGGCAGAAGGCATCAGTGTGCTGAAGGCGAATGCTCCCACCAGGGTGATGTTGAGTCCAGCCAGCATGATGCATAGGCCACAAGCACAGCAGAGTGCCGGAGAGGGCAGGCCATGAGGGCGAGACTTCCTTTTCTTCTGGGGCTCCTTTTTAGGCACAGGGGTGCCGGTGTTTCTATCAGCGATGACCATGGTTTCCCCTCCAGGCTCTCTGGCTTTCTATCTTCTATCTTTTTGTAGATACACAAAATAAAGGAAAATAAGCTTTTTTAAGTCATTACAATGACACTAGTGTGCACATGTAGAAAAGCTCTGTCAATCAGTGAGCTTTGATCTGTCACCTCATTGCACTGCTACACCTACAGAATACAGACATGAGAACAGATTGTAAAAAGTTGAGTGAGCAGCACTCAGGTAGTGGTCATCTATTGGTGACACCTGCATAACATGTGAAGACAGCTGGCCACTGAAATCTTCCTAAATCAATTACACTGTTTAAAAAAACAAAAAAGGATCTAAACAGCACCTGTACAACAGCCGCATGGACGGGCAATTCACTCTAGATGGCCTAAAATAAGCTCCGTTAAAAAAAAGGGAAGCATGAGCCCATTAAGAAAAATCCTCAGTGGTACTTAATAACATGTCTTTAAGATGGCATCCCTATTTATTTTCTCTTAAACTGTGTACAGTCACCGTGCAGCTGCTTCATTCATGCCACCCAAGCCACTAGAGGAAAGGCTGTGAGTGTTTAGTTGCAATCAAATGAGCCCTTTCATTCCAGCATGCACCCATTCAAGAGCAGACAGGAGACCTAAGCAGAGGGGATGTGTGAAAAATATATTTTTGTAAATATGTGTCTGTAAATGTGTGATATATCGCAGTTGGCACGTTTATAAAACGGGTTTTGCTTGAGAGGCGTTGAAATGCGCCTTTACTTCCACTGATGTTGCATTTCTGGAAAAATTAAAACATGAAAGAAGGGGCGAGACACTCACCCTTTAGGTTGATGCACTGAAGGTCTTTCCATTGTTTGATCAGCAGATTTTCACCGCGGTTACCGGTCTTCTAATTAAGGGGCGAAATAACTGAGACGCTGAAAGGGCGAATCAGCACCAAACGAACGATTTTCATCCTGTTCTCGTGGCTTCACAGTCCTGAGGGCACAAGTCATGAAAGCCCTTCAATCACTGGCTCAAGCAAACACACACACACGCACAGACACACATACACGCGCACACACGATTCAAGGCGACCGACAAGATAAAATCCGAGAGTGGAAAAAAGAAGAAGAAGAAACAGGCAGAAGATCACTTAGGTGAAATGGCATTTCTTAGGAGCAGACACACCGCGCGCTGCTGCTCCAGATGTGGACCGAGCAGCACGTAACACCTGACAGGTCAGCCCGAACCGGAAATGGTGTTCCAGACATCTCTGTCTGTGTGAAGCTGTCATATTTTCATTCATTCATATCTGAACTGAGCATATTCCCTCCGTCGCCGGACCGCTGGATGCGAAGCTCGTTCCCGAGCCACCCCTGTGTGCGCGAGCGAGTGTGCAAGTGGAGGAGGGAGTGATGAAGGTGAAAGCTGTTGCTCTCTGCCTTCAGCCCACACCGCAATGTTGCTGATTCTTGAAAAAGGAAAAGGATTTTAATTTATTCCACAGCTCTCTCGAATATAAAAATGTTTTATCTAAAATTATTATTTATTTATGCTGTGTATTATTTTATAATATAATTCAATATGAATATTTTTCTGTTAAAATATTTATTTATTTAATATTATAATTTAATAGAATAGAATTGAATATAATAATTTAATAGAAAAATAGAAAAAAATATTATATTCATTCATTTTGTATTATTTTATGTAGCTATTTATTATTTTACTATAATTCAATATGAATATTTTTCTATAAAAATATTTATTTATTTGTTTATCTATTATTTTATATTATAATTTAATAGGCAAAAATATTGTATTTCCTTATGTGACTATTTGTTATTGTATATTATTTATATGAATATTTTCTATTAAAATATTTACTTGTTTATTCATTTTGATCTTTTTTTGATCATGTAGCTCATGATGATGATAATGATCCAGTGTCTACATTGTTGGCTATCAGCTAAATTAACTGGTAATAAATCGAGGATAGCTATTATTAGACCAACTTTTGGCTTGCTGTGGTAAAAGATGAGTCATCAAAACTCAAAAGGGTCACGACCTTTGCAGTAAGTCAGCTAGTTTGCAGCTACTGAATCTATACATGACCGCAAAAGTGTGTTAGTAACAAAACAGTCCTTTAAATGTTTTAAAAGGGTTTAAACCTTCTTGTTGCCACCCAGGTTATTTACTTATCTTGTAAAATATGGACTATATTTGTATATGCAGTTCATTACGTGCTCCTCCACTGTCTAACTCCCAGACACAGGGGGATTGTGGTGTTGTGATTTGAGGTTTGACAATCAAGCTGCACCGCAGACTCCTCGGGGCTCCTGTTGTGCACAGCTCATGAACACAGCTCGGCATTATTCAGCCTCACAGCACGTTACACTTTTTTTGTTGCGCTTTCTGCCGGTGCTGTCCTGAATATCAATGTATTACGTTTCACTGCGGAGGGGGTGGGTGGGTCGCAGGTCACTGTGTGCACGCCATGGATGTTGCCACGTGTGTGTATGTGCATTCATTTATTTGTGTGTGTGCTACTCATGGAAATCACATGCAGGGGAATTGAATAATATCCAAAACCCATCATCGCTTAATGACTGTCATAATTCTATAATTGGTGGGATAGAGCATTGTACCATGATTAGAGGAGCTGCACAGGAGTTGGACTATTGGGCCTAATTTGCTTCACTCAGTGTCAGGATGTAAAATAGAAAAAAAACTCCACTAATGATCACAATCTCTGGATGTTTATTAGATGACATGCTGTTTTATATATATATATATAATGAGGTGATCTCAGCTAACATGATGAGCTGATATCACAAATGAACAGGAAAACGAGATTTATAAAGATATACACAGCAGAGAGATTTACACAGCTGTACTTTTTTGTACTAAGTGTGAAGGAAGATCAATACAGAAAAATTAAACTTCTTCTGCAGAAGTTGCAACCTTCTGCATCCGGCTTCCTTCACATGGAGCGGCCAGTCTTGCTACGTGATGACCTCATGGCAGATCTTGATCTGAAGGCTTTAGTTTCCGTCTCGATAAGACATCCGGCATGTCCGCAGAAGTCCTGCAAAAGACAGACGGATCAGTCATGAGGGAGGCTTGCGTTGTGTTCGCTGAACTAAAACCTTTTCCTTGATATAGCTGAGATTTTAGATGATCTGCACTACGTAATTCCTCATCTGTTAAATAACTGAGCCAAACAGTGCATCAGTGTGTTATCTGGTTTGTTTTTCTTGTTTAAATGAGACTATAGTGCTGAAGTGTGACTTCAGTTGTCTGTCTTTCAAGATGCTACACATTGAAAAGTACTCTCTTTCACAAATGTCAGTGAAGACCTGAAAAACTGCTTCGTTTTGAAGGTCAGTGCAGACTCTGCTGTCTGTTTGTTGTCACACAGGACAGCGCATGAAATGCATGATGACATGATTGAAATATATGTGGTAGCGCCATTGCCATAGTAACAAAATTAAAAGTGAGTGACTTTGAAAAGGAGGTGATACTTGGTAATGTTCACTTTCAAAAGCCCCCCATTCTCCTCTAAATTGCTTGTAGTCAGCCAACAAAAAGCCCCACGTCATTATGTAAGGCGTTTTGTTGATTCTTTTCTTGACAGTTTGGCTATGGTTTAAAAAAAATGTCTTTAACTCTCAGAAATAATAAAGGTAACCCTTACCTGTCTGGATAAACCTAGTTATAAAGTCATTCAAATGGAAAAGTAGAGACTGAAGTGCTGAAAGGAAGTCAGCATTCTCTACGTAGCGCATGTCATCAGTGAGACTGTCACATAGTAACATTTCAGTGTTTTTTCTCGATCTTACTTTAACACCTTAGTGTTTATATTATAATTTTTAAAAATAGCAAACAGTTAATTAATATAAGGCATAAAGAGCAACAAGAACTACCAATCGGGCGACACAGCAGATCTGTACATATCAAGATTCTGAGTAAAGCCCACGATAGTACTGCATGTGAGATATACTACACTACTATGGAGCTGCTGGCTTGTGTATTATCACAGCTCTCAAAGGTTTTTGTAGTTTTTCCAACATCCATTCATGCCCAGATTAGATTCTTATAAGTCTATCAACATGCTGACTAGTTTCTGCAAAATGTGATTCATACTGCAAAGCTTAGGAAATTAAAAGTACTCTTATATCCAGGAAACATAGCATTAAAATCACAGGAACTATATTACAGATAAGGTATACTGAAATGCCTTTCTGCTGTACTGTGGTACCATTCACATCCCTGTTTTGATCATGTATAATTATCAAAGGAGACAGACCCCTCATCCGGGTTGGCTTCAGCTATTGTTCCAGCCTCCACAAAGGTTCCCATACGACTCTTAGACCGTTCCAGATTAATCTGACTGTGAGTCCCTGGCAAGACAACAAGAGAGCATGGAAGCATTAAGTGTAACAGTACACGTTTAACTAGCATGTGAAACAATGAGCACTAGATCATACTGAGAAGGGTTATACAGAGGGGAAAATACTTATTTGGATTGTATAGTCACATATATGTATATAACATGGGCCTTAACAATTAAGGCAGATAGTTTTAAATGAACGCTTAACTTAAACTAAAAAGATAATAACAGTTACAGGTGTGGTTAAAAGTTTACATACATTCATTCACTCCTCATGGGCATGAATATCATGGTAGTTTGGGCTTTTAATGATTTCTTTGAATTGTTCTTTTTCCAGATTGGAATGATTGTACAGCGTACATGTACTTTTCAGTCGAGCTTGAAGTTGATGATTTTGGACCCGGGGCTTCTTTCTTGGTCACCACTCTCTCAGTCCATGTGCTCGTAAAACTCACTTCACAGAACAGTAACACTGGTGTTCCAGCAGTTTCCAGTTCCAATGTTGACACATCCGAATAACTTGCATTTATGAAAATTGCTTGAACTGATTATGTTGGAATCTGCGGTTGTCTAGAAATCACTCCAAGAGACCTTTTCAACTTGTGTAAATCTACAATTCTCCTTCTTAGATCTTCACGGAGTCCTTTGGACTTTGGAGTGAGTGCTATCAAACAAATAAATTTTAAGCTGGCAAAGATGATCGTGATCGCGATGACTACTGAGAAGTAAACGGACCTTGGCCTTGTCAAGTTAAAAGACAGTGCGCATGTAAACCTATGATCATAAGTGTAGGTATAAGCAGCTCATCTAAGTGCAAGAATATAGCTTCAGAGAGGGAATTTTAGGACGGGAATGCAGGCACTCCTGAATCTTCCTGTGATTTTGACCTTCACATATGATTTCAATAAGTTTTAATATGCAACATTTAACTCAAACTGATAAAACGAAACAAAAACACATAATTTGCAAATGTTTCACTCAGTCTGGTAATAGTTTCCATGTTTGAAGTCAGCATGTCAAAAACATGAACCTACTTTCACTGGAGCACAAACATGCACAGATGCACAGTTGGCTGCACAGCGCAAAAACTGTATGCAGACAAACGTTTCCCCTGGCTCATATTTGTTAACAATTAAGTGAAAAAAAAAAAGCAGTTAGGAAAGAAGGAAATTATATTATTTTTTTTAAGCGCACTCAGTGAGACATTAGACAGATGGCTGAAGCGCTCTCTCTGATAACAGCCTGAGCACAACATCTGCCTCGCTGCTGTCAACTCTGCAGTGTTTCTACAGGTGTCTGAGTTTTTATCAAACAAATAAGGCGCATAGACTCAATGCAGATCAGTATCAAGTGCCTTTGAGTGTTATACGATAGCATTATTAACTCACTGGCTCGCTCCTTCATTTCACCCACCTTCTCGTCTCAGTGTCTCAACTCGCTGATCAGGAGCAGGATTGGCAGGCGCGGGGTGCACTCTGAAGTTCGCTGAGGATTTTAGCCAAAATGCCTTTTATTGTTATCGTGAACACACTTACAAATAATAGCATCAAAAAAAATACAGGTATATATCAAACTGCTTACCAAAGGATGGAAGGATGTGGTTGACGTTCAGCCAAGCTTTTATGAAGGGGTAGATTGCTATTAGCAGGCCTGGAAAGCATAACAGTCCAATAAATTTATTAATTAAGGCCTGGCTTTACTCTAGTTCCCTTATGGTTGAAAAGCAGCAGATTTACTGCAGTGTTAGTGCAGATAACTGTCACCACGAGAGAGGAAAGCATTTGGTGCTGCAGATGCAATGAGAAGCCTCATTAAAAATGGGCATAAATTGTAATAGTGTATTAAAAAATACAAATTCAATCACCTGCATGGACTAAGTCACACCAATCAGTGTAATTTATTTTGTTCAGTTGTTTGAAATGCAATCTCACTGCCTCCGGCTCCCGTGAGCCTTAACGGCTCATAAAAATAACAGTTTTTAATAGAAGTTTCCATACTTGGAGACTTTGCGGAGAAACAATAAGGCTGTTTGATGAAATATCTATTCCCAAACTGAAATCCACTCGACAAAGCCTTAAGATTATTCTCAGTGCAGCAGATACAATGTGCAATGTTTCGTTCAGTTCGACTCAAAGTACAAAGTAATATCTGAACCGCTGGGCTCGTGTGCCTCTCTGTGGCACTGTGCTCCAATTCAAACGTTATTGATTTCCCTCTATAAGCCAGAAGATCTGGCATTACACCCCCGGCAAGTCCTGAGGGTGGCTGTGATGCATGTTTGTGCTTAAAATGTCATGAAACTGCGGAAGGAGTGAAAACAATCTGCTGAGAACACTCTGTTCATACTCATTAGTCAGCCTATGTGTTGGAGGCAGCATCGCAGCACACAAGCCCCAAAACACATAATTAGATGCTACTCAGCTGCACAAATGCTGCCAAAGCGAATGTTTCTGTCAAGTGGCTGTGCGCAGTGTTGATTTGTCAGATTCTTAGCGCACATTACAAAGTCAAATTAGTTACTGAAAGATGATCAACTCATCAGAGAGGATGTTTTTTGCATTAACTATGCATGCACTCTGATGCCGTCGTCCTGTGATTGAAAACCCTGCCCTTTTGCTCCTTCTCTCCAGGAAACCGGTAAAGACACTCCTTTATCTTGGCAGCCCAGTTCCTCTGGCTATCAGCTGGCTCCAGTTACAGCGCTGTATCAAATGAATGAGGGATGGAAAACTGACACTGACCGCTGATCTTTCACCTGAGTTTTTGACATTTCATTTAAAATAGATATTCCAGCGAGATATAAATGTGCGCTCCCTCAGTTTTTTGGCCTTCTTGAATTGGATTTTTAGTGAATTAACAAATTAACTCACTCACAAAGAAATGCACTGTGTAATAATCTCTCCGGTGATGCACCATAATGTTTAGATACAACTATTACCTAAAATCTTCTGTTTAATCTCTTAATATACAACGTATCACTGGTAAACCCTCCCGGGCCAGGGTTGGATTTTATTTTAGCTACATGCTACATGTTAAATCAGAAAACTCTCTGAAATGTTGCATTTTAAATTTTGGCACTACAGTTTTTCTTTTAACGGCTTTTCCCAGTCTTGGCCAATATATCGATTGGACTCTACCCCTAACACCACATGGGTCACCAGACGACCAGGTGGCTGTTAAAAGGTTAAAAAAAATGTGAAAGCCACAGAAATAGAGCATAATAAAATACACTGTATGGTAATAGCAGAAGTTTTAGCATCAAAAACTAAAGTACCTGAAGTAAAACTACTAATTTTGCAAAACCTTAGCCAATATTATTGTATTAATAATGTGTATTAATATGTATCAAATGATGTGTATAATACGTTATTCTGGGGGGCACAGAGAAGGCCAAACATATCATATGGGCTCTCTCAAAAGTGTGCAGTTGGACATCACACGGACTTTGTACTCAGTTATAAATTTCTTGCATGAACCTCTGTTGTATGAAAGTTCAGGGCTGCAGTGCATGAGAGACAACAGATCTGTCATGACCTCCTGAAAAATGTCATAAGTTAAAAGTTACACACAGCAATAGCAAAAAGCAGGTTTAATAAACAAATGTAATCCAAATATCCAGAATCGGCTTATTACCCTCCCTATAACTGCATCACCTATAAAATCTTAAGACACACTCACCAAGGCCCCCCGCTCCCAGGAAGATACCTCCGACTGCATCAGCATCGCATTCCCTGGATACCCCAATGATGATGCAGCCCGCCACAATGCTGAGCAGGGCTGAGCCTACCCGTAGCCCGTGGTACTCTCCGGTGCTGACAGGGTTCATTCAGCACGTGGATGCTCCCCGCCTGCTCCCCCCACCACATGCACTGTGGAGCCCCGACACTGTGCTCTGCTTTAACTTGGGCCCTCAACTTTAATGTCCCCGAGCCTCACCCCGCTTCGTCTTTCACTCTCAATGATGCAGAAACACTTTCTCTAGTTAAGCCTCAGTCGCTATATTCTGTTTCTTAAGATACCTCATGCATCTTTAAAGATAGAGCTCTGGTTTCCATTGACATAGAAAATTAGAAAACTAGTGGCTCTGACTCTTTTGACAGTGAAACCCATGCTACAAATCTGATCATAGTCCTCCGGCATCAAGTATCAGGGCTGCAGCAAATACCCTAATTGCAATTCTCAAACTGTTAACAAGTCTTGTAGAGTTGCAATGTGCTGAAACTTAAAGGCAAGGTATGGCAGCATGATGGCAGCACTACAAAGGCAGCACAGAGGAAACTGTGACAGAGAGACAGTTAGATTACGCTACTTGTCTGATTTGCCTGTGAGCTTGAAGGGAATGTGTAATGAAAGGTTCAGAGAGTTCTCCATGTGGTGGGGGCCCGAGGCCATCCACAAAGGCATGCAGTTGCCATAGGAATAGCATATCCATGGCAACGGGGGAGGAAGGGTGGGTAGGGGGTTAGAAGGATTAACACCGGTGAGTAGGGTAACAAATGAGCATACTGGGTGGAAGAGAAACTGTGACACATTTACTGTTAAGAAAGTAAACTCCATCTTTTCTGGATATTTGCATGTATTTTTAATCAATGCTGGTAATGCAGGTCCTATGTGTGTGTGTGTGTGTGTGTGTGTTAGTGACACAGCAATTAATGGCTGACAATAATGACTCTTGACAGCCTTTGTGGCATGTCAACCTTTAAAATCAAGCTAACTTGCAGGGGGCTGCAAATCCCCAGGAGTGAACCAGCCTTCCGAAGAGATTTATCAAGTCCTTTGGGGTTATCCGTCCCCCAGCAGACCAGAACATAAAAATGCCACATTACACCAGAGACTCATGAAACATCCCCATCATGGTGTCGCAGAAAGTGAAGGAGCACTTCTGAAGGACAGAGCTGTAGTTTCTGCTCAAGGTAGTTGTTTTTTCTTGCTGTCCCCCAGCAGAAAGAGAAGCACTAGAAGTCCTGAACCTCCTGATGTTTACAGATTCTGATGGGCTAACAAACTGAATAATAATACAGAGTCCTGTATACATCTGATCATTCATTAGGGAAAATAACCACAATTGTCCATGTATTTCTTTTCTGATTATACAATTCACAGAGAGGTTGGAGCCAACTGAGCTCTTAGACGGTGCAAGGCCATACACTATGGACAGTGTTGGGGAGTAACGGAATACATGTACCACCGTTACGTATTTAAAATACAAAATTTGAGTAACTATATTCCGTTACAGTTACCGTTTAAAAAGGTGGTGTTCAGAATACTGTTACTTTGTTGAAATAAAGGGATTACATGGTGGTCTTTTCCTGTTTCATATGTTAGGCTATGCCCTCTCTATTTTTTGTAATTCCATGCTGGCAGTGTTGGGAAGGTTACTTTTAAAATATATTCCATTACAGATTACAGAATACATGCCCTAAAATGTATTCTGTAACGTATTCCGTTACGTTTTTCAATAAGAGTAACGTATTCTGAATACTTTTGATTACTTAACATATTATCATGCATTTTACAACTACGTGAATGTACTATTGCTGTGTGATTTATTACTATTACTGAAGGTCCGCGGCTCCGAACCGTAGTAAAGGGACTTCTGACTAATACAGTTCCGTGTCGGGCTCGTAGCCGAAAAATTGTTTTACTTTGTTGTGTGGGTCAACTCTGCTTGCGAGAGACAGAGAGAGACGTTGAAAGGCTGCTCCAACGGAACTTATTGTTTCAGAGGAAAACACCAACAAAGCGTACAGTCGAGTTTTAATAGCTTATTTACAACTGGTGTTAAGATATTCATTGTGTGTATTCATGTTGTACAGTGTTTAACTGCATTATGGTTACTGTGGTTTAACAGAGACAGTATTTTAGTTGTCACCACAAGGAGGCACTGTTTCATTGTAAGAACACGGATGCTGCGTCATCACGCCCCAAAGAAGAGAAAGGGAAAAAAAAGTATACCACAACGAAAATGGCACCCATGAGAAAAGTTTTGCCGCGTGTTGATGAGGAATAAAGTTCACAAAATATTAAGGACATTTTTGCCTCCGTCGTCATTTTCCTTCGAGTTGATCGCTGTCGATGCTGCAATACTCAACAACTGGGCTTGTCAGGCACTCTTCTTGGCTGCAGTGGTTATTATTATATTGACAATTTTCCAGCTCCCGTTTTTGCTCGATGACAACTTGTACTTTTCGACTCTCCTTTTTCTCCCTCCCTCGCTCACAGACACATAACGAGTATGGCAGTCCATTCTCCCTGCAGCACGGACTACACTGCCCATGAAGCTACATTCTGCATTCTGCCTATTAGCTTAGCACAACAACTACAACAAAAAGGCGCTCTCTCACCCAGGAAACACGCAGAGCGTCACCCTGTAACCATGGCAACCGCAACGCTGCCCCCTGGAACTACAGAATGTAGCTGTCAAACAAAACCGAAACAGTCCTGACCCGCCACAATATGAAACAGGAAAGTACCGCTGTGTAATCCACAAAGTAACTGTATTCTAAATACCACCTTTTTAAACGGTACCTGTAACGGAATACAGTTACTCATATTTTGTATTTTAAATACATAACGGCGGTACATGTATTCCGTTACTCCCCAACACTGCATGCTGGTGGAAACCCAAACAAAACACGCATTAAGAGGCTCAAATGCCTGTGTCTCAATCTCGTGTCTCATAATGACATGAAGAAATATTTTTAAAAATGATTTAATATGAAGGCAACAGGCAGAGTGTTACAGGCATCGCCCTAAAGAATGTAGCCTCATGGGCAGTGTAGAATGATGATGATGGATTGGATTTATATAGCGCTTTTCAAGGCACCCAAAGCGCTTTACAATGGTTGTAGCCACAGCTGCCCTGGGGCAGACTGACAGAAGCGAGGCTGCCATATCGCGCCATCGGCCCCTCTGGCCAACACCAGTTGGGTAAAGTGTCTTGCCCAAGGACACAACGACCAGGACAGAGAGCCCGGGGATCGAACCGGCGACCTTCCGGTTACAGACACGCTTCCCAATGCCCGCAATGGACTGCCATACCCGTTATGTGTCTGTGAGCCTGAGGGAGGGAGAAAAAGGAGAGTGGAAAAGTACAAGCTGTCAACGAGCAGAAACGGGAGCTGGAAGCATGTAAATATAATAATAACCACTGCAGCCAAAAAGAGTGCCTGGCATTTGAGCCTCTTAATGCGTGTTTTGTTTGGGTTTCCACCAGCATGCAGTGTTGGGGAGTAACGGAATACATGTACCGCCGTTACGTATTTAAAATACAAAATATGAGTAACTGTATTCCGTTACAGGTACCGTTTAAAAAGGTGGTATTTAGAATACAGTTACTTTGTGGATTACACGGCGGTACTTTCCTGTTTCATATTGTGGCGGGTCAGGACTGTTTCGGTTTTGTTTGACAGCTACATTCTGTAGTTCCAGGCGGCAGCGTTGCGGTTGCCATGGTTACAGGGTGACGCTCTCGCTCTGTGTGTTTCCTGGGTGAGAGAGCACGTTATGTTATGTGTCTGTGAGCGCGAGGAGGGAGAAAAAGGAGAGTCGAAAAGTACAAGTTGTCATCGAGCAAAAACGGGAGCTGGAAACATGTAAATATAATAAAATACATTTTGGGGCATGTATTCTGTTGTCACGGCTGATGGAAGGTATGGACTCAAGCGCGGAGCTCTGGGTTGAAGCAGACAGTGCGTTTATTTACAGTGCGTGAAAGATAGTCCTTAAACATCAATATCTCCAATAATTGTCCTTTCTTTTTCTCAGTTCCCGGAAGTGGTGAAGGTGAGTTTTCCCGTGAGGTCTGTGTGAGCTCCTCCTCCCGAAAACACCACTCCTCCGTCCCGTACTTCTTGAAAGTCGAGCAAACACAACAATGGATGAGAAGGCTTGCCTGGCCACGCGGGTGACAAGATCACGCGCACACTTAGCTACCGAGCTCCGAGTACAATCCAGCGTCGACTGCCGTCTGGACACATCGTTAAATACCTCCGTCTAGTGAGGAAAGATTAGCGGCAGCTGGAGCCGAAGATTACACTTCCGGGTCAGAGATCAGCCTTTCTCACTCTCTCGGAGACGCCGTTCCTCGGCAGCCAGACCCGCAGAGTAGGGAGGGAGAGAGAAGGAGAGGAGGGCATACACACACACATCACAAACAAACAAGCAGGTCGTCCGGGAAGACCGTCCGACCGTGACATCTGTAGTGGAATACATTTTAAAAGTAACCTTCCCAACACTGACCATGAACAATGTTGCCCTTTTATCTATCAAAGGGCTAACACAGGGAGACAGATAAACCATTCATGGTCATATTGACACGTCAGCTAACCTAACCCATGCACTGTGGGAGGAAACCGGAGTAAATCCACACAAGCTTTCACACAAGAGAGCATGCAAACTCCACACAGAAAGGAACAGCCAGCTATAGCTGAGTCACACCCAGACTGTCATATGTGTTATATGAATGTTAACATATGCACATGCAGTAACAACTTTACGATCACAGTTTCAACTACAGTATTTTTATAGATTTGGAAGAAATTAATTTAAAAATAGAAAAAAAGAGCCTGCGTTGGCCGGGAATCGAACCCGGGTCAACTGCTTGGAAGGCAGCTATGCTAACCACTATACCACCAACGCCTCCTTAGAGGAAGGCTACTCAAATTCACTTCAATCCATATCGATTTATATGAACTATATGTATGTTTATATTTTATATGTACTGCATATTATGGCTTTTCGTAGTCTGTCTACAAATATTTGGCGTTCTAGAAGTGTCTATATTTGGCCATAACATGGGGCCATTTTATTCTATTTTTTCGCCGAACCAAATACATCCATACTGCTGACACGGCTTGTTTTCACACCGTGATAAAATCGAGCAGCAAAATAATTTTCCCAAAGAAGGGAGAAAAAAAACGCAACTGTGGCCCGTACGGGGATCGAACCCGCGACCTTGGCGTTATTAGCACCACGCTCTAACCAACTGAGCTAACCGGCCACTTACCACAAACCCAATGGTACACTATATATACTATATACAAATGACTAATGGCTGGGCCCACAATGCAATAGCAATGTGGACAGCCAGCCCCAAGGTTTTTACTGTCTTACTTAAAAACTGATTAGGACTTATTACGGAAGAGGATTAGGGCCACTGGAAAAAAAAAGTGGGCACTCTTTCTTTTCCAGAATTCTGAGATTAAAGTCAGAATTTTCACATTTCGACGTTTTTCATAAAATATCACTTAGTGACACAAGCTAAAGACCATATGTAGCCACAACACAGCATGCCCACCTTTATGATAGGCATATACGAGGTTTATGCCACAGACCTCGTGGCGCAACGGTAGCGCGTCTGACTCCAGATCAGAAGGTTGCGTGTTCAAATCACGTCGGGGTCATTCCTTTTTTGTTCCACAGTAAAACGCACGCTTAAATTGTAATCTTCTGTCTTACAAGTTGCTACTTACCGCGTTTGCACGCATGGTAAATATGAATACAGTTTTTTATCGACATTAGATTGAGTGCTGCAGCGGTGAAGATTCTCACTCTGAAGAAGCTTTTTCTTATAATCCTAAATATCATCGCAATTGCATTTAATTACGTATCTGCGAAAGCGATATTGGCAACTGTATTTATTCTTATTGTATCCTAATTTTTGCCTCATAACTTTTGCACTGTCCACTTCCTGCTGTGACAAAACAAATTCCCCACGTGTGGGACTAATAAAGGTTATCTTATCTTATCTTATCTGTTAACAAGGAGAATTATTAATAGCAAATCAAAATAACAAAGTAAAACGGTGGGCTCGTCCGGGATTTGAACCCGGGACCTCTCGCACCCTAAGCGAGAATCATACCCCTAGACCAACGAGCCAGCTCGAAATGCAGCATCGTCGTAATCCAACAAAACCAACAACAGGTCCTGAGCTCACAATTAGTAGTAGTTTAAAAATTAAAAATCTTTATGTTACGTGTAACTGCAGTTGGTTTTGTTAGCTATAGATCTCTACATGAGTTGGTAAAAACAAAGCAAACAAACAAATAACAAACTGTTGTTATTGTTCGGCCGACTGGCTAGTAAAAATGGATACAGAAAGTGTAATGCTAGGGCCACGGGAGGATTCATCTCAATACAGATAAGTAAGGCTCATTAAAAAGTGTTTACCAGTCCGACTAACTTTACCTGATTTATTTTACCTCGAAGTTTGCCCG